CTCGGTGATCGCATCTTCTTCCTTCGCGCTGCCGAGCGCTGTAGCCTCGTCGTTCGAAGAGGAACATAGGGTTGATTGCGTTGATGGAGGCTCCTGCATCGCGTCGAATGAATGAGTACGAGACAGGATAGGTCTCTACCTCGCTGACTTCGCTCGTCTGGCTTGTATTGGCGGGAGAGTCAAGCGTACTCGACAAGGCCCGCGGGTCGTACTCGACGAGGCCCGCGGGAGAGTCAAGCGTACTTGACGAGGCCCACGCGTCGTCCAACGGAGGACCATGCTAAACATATGTCTTGAATGCCGCTTGACGATGGCTTATTCTTCATTCACCTCTGGCGGCGTGGCGGCGGTTGCTGCCCCGGCGGGGGTTGGGCTCATCTGGGCCCCAGCGTTCTCAAGTCGCTGCGCAATCGCACTGTGTCCTTGACGAGACGCTAGAAAGAGTGCGGTGTCGCCATTCTACAGCAATGCGTCAAATGTAATTTCGATACGCAGACGAGTTGTACGTTGTCGCAAAGATCAACGTTGGCGCCGGCGGCAAGCAAGCGTTGAACGATGCGATCATGCCCGTTGGTGCTGGCCAGCATCAGCGCCGTCGTGTCGCTCTAACAGAGAGAGCTCGAGATGTAAAACATTGAAATATAACTGGACGAGGTTGCATACTCTGTCGGTGCGGTTCACTTTGTGTCGGCATCGAGGAGCCACTTGACGGCAATCTCGTGGCCGTGCGTGGCCGCCATCATCAACGGCGTTTTGCCGTTCTACCGTAGGCGCTTACATGTGCTCTGTGCCATCCCAGGCACAAAAGGCATTACGAGATCGCTGAGATTCACGTCAGCCTGGGCATTGATGAGCAGCTTGACGGCGATTTCGTGCCCGTTTGTAGATGCCAGGAGCAGCGCGGACTTGCCATCCTACGCAAATCAACTTATTGAACGATTCTGTCGATGCGAACATTGAACCGTATCGGTGGCGTTCAAGGCCGCTTGGGCAACCAATAGACGCTTGACTACGGCGTTTTGGCCACAGGCAGACGCCATCATCAGCGCTGTCACGTAGTCCTACAAAATGCCGTGTATACAACGCCAACACTGCATTCGAGCTACGTTGTCGGTCGCATCCACGACGCCTTCATCAACGCCGTCTTGCCGTCCTACGAAATAGAGACGTTAGGCAACGTGACACTATGAGACATTGGACGTACTTTATCCGTGAGATTGATGTTGGCTCCTTGGGCAATCAAATTCTGAGCCACCGCGTCGTGCCCGTTTTGAATGGTCAGGATCAACGCCGTGTTGTCGTCCTACACAAAAATTAGCATAAGCGCAGCACGCAGTGCAGTGTCATGTACGGAATCGACGAGGTTGAGCGCGGCAGGGTCAAGGTCGCGATTCGATCGGTTCATAAATTGCTGCACCACTTTTTCGTAGCCTTTGGCGGACGCAAGCATCAGAGCTGTCTTGCCGTCCTACACACACGATTCTTGTCAATAAGCCGTCTACTCTTTCGGCGCAGCGCACTCGGTCGACTGCGTTCACATTGCGCGATTTTTGTACGAGTTGGGCGGCCACATCGACGAGTCCACATGATATCGCCATCATGAGCACGGTCTTGCCATCCTACCATCACGATGCAAATAAGCAAGACGTGTACTACACCACTGTAGAGGGCATTGTACGGGATAGAGGACATCAGGGATCGACCGGTTGATGAGACTTTGAATCACGCTCGCTTGGCCGTTTGTTATCGCCAGCATCAATGCCGTGCTGCCGCTCTACAGAACGAAAGGCATATCCTCCGCATGGTCATTGAAATGTACGAACCAGATCAATGAGGTCCGGGTTTGCCGACCGCTGGAGCAGGCGTTGCACCACGGTCACGTGTCCATTCACAGACGCCAGCATCAATGCTGTTTGCCCATTCTACAATCTGATTGTCAGCAGACCATCCGATGTAACAAAGCGCCAAACATTGTCGACGAGGTCCAGAGTGCCCGAGTAGGCGTCAAGGCACTGAACCACATATAAATGTCCGTTGGCCGAGGCCAGCATGAGTGCGGTCCTTCCCTCCTACCCAAGGAGGTTGATAAGCGTGCACGATACGTCTGCTACAAGCAACCTCGTTCTTGACGTTGAGATTGCAATTGATGCCTAAGAGTCGACGGACTTC